CCCCCCCCCCCCCCCCCATCCAAGGGCTTGGGCTGCATGACACTGACGTGTGCATGTACTTGTGCAGGGAGCTGGTTGCACGCCTGCAGCATGACGGTGTGAAGGTCTTCCTCATTTCCGGAGGGTTCCGCTGCATTGTGGAGCACGTCGCCTCGCAGCTCGGGATCCCCCTGCATCACGTCTATGCCAACCGCCTCAAATTCTACTTCAACGGTGAGCGACAACCCGGCCGGTGTGCTCTGTAGCTTGCCTGACTGATCTCAGTCTGATGAAGTGGATTTGCGCAGGCGAGTACGCGGGTTTCGACGAGACGCAACCCACGGCGGAGTCTGGCGGCAAAGGCAAAGTGATCAGCATGTTGAAGGAGAAGTACGGCTTCCAGAAGGTGGTGATGATTGGAGATGGGGCCACGGACATGGAGGCCTGCCCCCCCGCTGTAAGTACACCGTTTGGGGCCTGTCGCTTGGTGGTGCTTAGTTAAAATTCCGCGTTTCAGTTAGGAAAACGGAGAACAGCAGACGAGGGCCCCAGCAAAGAGAGCGATGCTCATGTTACAAACGTGACACATGGTGTGAGTGAGTCTAACAGCAAATCAATTAGCTCAGTGCATGCAATTGGCTCATGGGGGGGGGGTGCGCATGCTGATTGGGTGGAATTTATACCTGAACTTATTTGACAAATGGTTTGGAAAAGAGAAGCCGGACAGCCACTTAAATGCACTTAACCAGAAAGATCCTTGGTTTGAGATTAGCCTTCAATAAAATAAAACAAATATAGCAAGTTTTCTTTTAATTTTTTTTCCGTATCTCTGTGTTATCATGTGTTTATTTAATGAAACATAAACCAGTGACAGTGTTTGTTTTGCCCGCCTTTGCTGTGTGCGACTCTCACAGAATGTTTTGATTTTAGCTCTAAATTCTGGGATTTGCTCATTCCTTTGTCCCATATGGGTATCAGAATATCATATGCACTAACATAAGAGAGAATGTGTTTGACTTTAAGTAACATGTTCTTTCACAGCCCTAAAAAAAAAAAAAAAAACTGTGCCAGGGAAGACCTTTTTAACTTGCGGTACTTGGTGGCATTTCAGTCTACACACCGAGATTAAAGTTTTCCTTCATGAAATCACATGACGTGTAGCAACTGTGACGTAGCCGTTGAAGTATGGTGACCCTGTAACACAAAGCTTGCAGAATGGATCTGATGTGGTCCACAATCTGTACTTGTAAAATGCAGCACTGCTGAAATGGATAAAAGAGTAAGGCGCCTCCAAGACTGGGCCATTGTGGTGGGATCACTCTGCTGACTATGGGATTTGAACCAGTGACCTTCTGAGTCTCAGCCCACAGAGCTGCCCCCCTCCCAGCAATAAATATCCTTTTTTCTTAAATACTGTATATTTTAATAAATACCCTGTATTTTAATAGTGCACATGTTTTTATTCTAAAAAGGCAGGGGATCACCGTATTCTTTACAATCGTGGAAGTTATGTTCCAGGCTCATCAGCGATAGGTGAAAATCCACGATATACAAAACATATAAATAAAGATATATTAAAATACCACTCCCACATGCTTTAAACCAGCTGTGGCCAATCTTATCCGCAAAGGGCCCGTGTGTATGCAGGGTTTTGGGATAACCTTTAGGTCAGCTGTTCAAATCCAGGTGCGAGGATTCTTCAGCCAATCAGTCCTCTAATTAGTAATCTAATTAGGGAGCTGCAGCGAAAACCCGCATCCACCATAAACACATATGATATGTGGATGTTGGGCTAAGGATATGAGTAACAATAACAATGATAATATGTAATGTATATGTGTGTGTATATATACATATATATACACACATCTCTCTCTGTCTCTGTATATGTAATGGAATATGTAAAAATGGCCAAGGTCCTCCTCTGGCGCTTAGGCTCACTACTACCAGAAGGCTTAGAAGATGCAGCATGCTTGGGAGCCATCGTAGGGCTTAAAACAAAACGAAAAGTTCACAAAAAGTTTGCTCACAACAATCGGACTGCAAGCGAGGCGCGCGATACGCGGAGAACTGTGATGCGTCGGGGAAAAATCCGCGATATAGCGAGGGCGCGATAGCTGAACCGCGATGTAGCAGGGGATCACTGTAGTGCAAATAAACCTTTCTGTGTGTGGGTGTGTCCAAACTTTTGACTGGTACTCTGTGTCACCTTGGCTGCAGAACGCTTTCATTGGATTCGGAGGAAATGTGGTCAGACCGCAGGTGAAAGAGCGATGCTCGTGGTACGTCACCAGCTTCGGGGAGCTGCTTAAGGAGCTGGACAAGATCTAGGGAGCCGGCGGTAATCCCTTCAGCGCGGCTTCTCCCCAGTATCCTCCGCACACCCTGACTGGGACCCTCTTGTTCCCTAGGTAGTTCATGGTTTGTGTTTTGGCAGTTTTTAAAAATTTAAATCTATTCTCATATAAAACTTTGTATACTTGCTACTGGATTAATTTTATGTGTATAGACCTATTTAATGATGTACTGAGATTTAAGTTTATGAGTTGAATCAGGTTGACTAGTTGTGTCTAATGTGGGTTGCTGATGTGCATCTGTGGAAGGGCATCCTGGTGAACTTCTGAAGTTTTAGAGCAGGAGAAAAATTATATAAATACTTTTTGGAATATGATTTTGGTATAGATGTAACCCTAATATTAAACTAAACTTTTGAACAAGTGTCTCTGTAGTCCTTATCCAAATCTAAAAAAATAGTCCCTCAGATCAGATGTACTGCAGTATGGTTGGCATTTGGTTTACCACACCTCATTAATTGCCTGTCCTGTTTGTATCCACCCCCCTCCTCTCCCCACCCCCCGTGTAAGAGGCCAGTGGTACATCCCGCTGTGTATATAATGGATGAAGACAACTCAGACATGGGAAGCTTTTTTTTAATTATTGGACAGGGCTATTCTCTTAAAATGGAAAATAAATGAACATTTTCCGCCACGGGCTCCTGGAGTTTGTGGAACTGAAAAATTAAGAAAGAAGGTAAGAAGACGTTTGAGGTCACACTGAAGTCTGTCCCGACGACGTGTCCCTGCGGTGACTCGAAGTGGCCGTGACCTCATTGCCTGTCTCTATAATGCCCCCTAAATGCTTTTATTAATAAGTGATATCAATTTTTTTATACAACTCCATGTTTTTCTGTTGGGCAAGGGAAAAGTGATGCAAGGGTCTAACAGCAAACTCCTTTCAAAGACTGGAACTTCCAACACCTGAGGGGTATAGATTAGAAGGTTAAAATTCATCATTTGTAACCCGGGCACCGGGCTGACTGCACATCACACCCTAATGGCGACTCACCATGGACACTCTGAGAGGCCTATCGCTAAAATTCTGTTTCAGTTCAGTTGTATTTGTATAGCACGTATTCATCACATTGTCTCAAAGCACTTTACAATATCTGTCCCCAAAGCTGCCAGCGAGGAAGCCAGAGGTCACAGTGGTAAGGAAAAACCAGAACCAGACTCAAAGGGGGGGAGCCCATTCTCCAGGGACCAGCAGAGGAAGTCAAGTGAGCAAGTCAGGAGCCGAATGTCGAGTGGGAGGGGCAATGTGGGAGGGGCAATGTGGGAGGGGCAATGTGGGAGAGGCAATGTGGGAGGGGTTTATCACAAGGGGCCTGTTATCGCGATCCTCTAGTGGTGAATCACCATGTAGTCTCTCTGGCTCTGAGCTGGACTCCCCTGTTCAGATGGTCCCAGTCCAGCGGGACGCAGGTGGTCACACGCAGACTATAACCTGGCCTGCTCTTTGTTATTACTCTCCATGGGCTTATTTTTGAAATCCTTTTCACTAGGCCCATAGCCACAAATAAATTTCAGGGGGTGTCCGGTAACCCTACTGATGGTTTTAGAGGGGGGTTCGAACTCATAAGCTTGCTACCTGGCTACGTGTCGGATCGGTAGCAAATAAATTTCGGGGGAGTAGAAACCCGTGATTTTACTATGTGGCTTCATGCCTGTGTTTCACTCGTGCAGCTTAAATTGCCAGAATTCGGGGCAGATTGAAGGACGATTTTAAACACAGTCAAGACGTGAGAGGGTTAGAAAGTGAGCAGTTACTGGATACAGCATTTTTTTATTTGTTAGACAACAACTCTGCTCTCATTCAATAAAAAAAAAGTTATTTAGAATCTTTCAGTTTAACAAGAAATGATCAAACATACGCAGCCTATTAACTTCTCTTTACTGATGCACCACAGCTTCCCAGTTTCTCAAGAAAAGTAATAACCACAATTTAAAGGTCCATGAAGGGTTATAAATTTTAACGATTTAACAGTATATGTTTGCTACAGATTTAGGACAAAACTCAGGTTGGGAAGCCCAATGCTTGGTAGAAGGTGTAGAGGAGGAACTACAGATACTCAAACGGAGACCAAAGGCAGCTCCAGGAAGAGTGTCCTGGTAGCACTGTCACTTTTAATGAGTCGCCCACACAAAATAACTGCATTGGGACAAAATATCCCGCATCTGCCTGTATGAAAATGGAAAGTAGCCTTTCCAGTGATTATCCCATTCCATCGCTGCTTGTGGCTGAATCAGAATCACGACGGCAAGCGTCGTGATTCAGCTACACACAGGGCAAACTGGCACAGTCTACCAAAAGACACGGGACGCTAAACAGATTAGCTCTGGAACAGTGTGCAGCCTATTCAAGGACAAGAGCGGGAGCACAAGCACAGAATCCCAAATAACTGCACTGAAGAGAGCAAAAAAAAAAGATGTTGGAACGTCTCCACTGTGTGGAAACAGCACAGTGCCCCAGGATAAGGGAACCAACCTAAAGAGGGAGGAGCCTGATCGCTCCTTGGGGGGCTCCTGGGGGGGCTCCTTGGGGGGCTCTTTGGGGGGCTCCTGGGCCCCTCCTTAGGGAAGGGTTTGCTCCAAAGACCGAACAGCAATGACAGATGAATGTTAACCTCTGTACCTGTATATCCTCCATGAACTCCTGCGGAATTGGGGGGGGGGGTATACCCACCACTTTGAATGCGAAAACGACACAGTCGTGGCTATTTACCTCGTTCTGCCTCTAGATGTTATAGTCAAATATTTTGAAACTATTTATATATTTATATTTAAATTAGCATGAATAACAAATACATCATGCATATCCAGGTACACAGATGATGTTAGCCTTTACTACTTTTTAATGACTAGGCAATATTCATAAATAACGTTTATTCATTACTAAACATTTTTCATTTCATTGATAACTTCACGATTTTATCATGATTCACATTTTAATGCCTGGTTGTTGATTCAGCCATAGAACAATGCCTCTGTATCTTGTTAGTAATGTTAATATGTGCGTTGCGTCCAGGGAGCCCCCCGACCCGTGCAGCCTGGAATAGACATTGTGACATATTACTGATAATGGGCCAACCTCTGAGCTCTCCAAGTCATTCAGAGACTGTCATGTGACACGTCACATGACACGTCACATGACAAGCCACTGGATGATCAGAGAATATTTGGACAGAATTCAGAAGAGGTCACACAAATACATAAATTCACATTTTAGAAGTGAGCCTAGAGCCACCTTCACCTTCACAGTAGTTTCATCTAGTCTGTGACTGAAATCCTATGTCATCACACCACAAAACAAGCCAGTAAAGCAGAAAGGTCTCTGGGCAGGCAGGCCCACCGTCTCGGGGTGGCGGTCCCCATCTCTGGATGTGCTCCACCTTCAGGGGGATAGTGCTCCACAGCCTCCCTGGGAGGGTCTATGCTGGGGTACGGGGGAGACGGCAGCTCCTCAGATCCAGGAGGGACAATGCATTTTCTGTCCTGGTTTGACTTGGAAAAGGCATATGACCATGTCCCTTGGGGGGGGGGGGTCCTGTGAGGGTGCGTGAGGAGTGTGGGGTACATATGTCACGGACCATCAGGTCCCTGTATAACCAGAGCGAGAGTTTGGTTCGCACTGCCAGCAGTAAGTCAGACTCATTCCCGGTGTGTGTTGGACTCCATCAGTTCATCTAGTGTCAAAGACAGAGAAAAATAGTCTGTTAGCAGATGCAGTGGAGTGAAACGCTTTTTCTGACCTATGCTGGTATCAGCATGATTTATCTTCTATTTATTTGAGAGTTCTTTTTGCAATAAATAATTTTCTTTACTAAATAGTTGTAACTGCATATTTGTAAACAGTATGGCTGTTGGTAATTAGTCATTTCAGGAAATCAAGTAACCCATCACATTATTTAATTGAAAAACATCTATATATTTTAAGTCACAGTTATAACAAACTTAGGGCAGTGTCGAGAATCTATTTGAAGTGACAAAGTGGCATAGCCTAATAACATCTTGAAAAGCGTCTATAAGTTCACCCATTTCATTACACTGCTTGTAGGCCCTGTTTGTTGCTATATAAGTGCACTTGGCTGGTCTGATGGAACAATATGGTCGTACTAATCCGCCGACCGCCACAAATATAGTACGTGCACGAGAGTCCGTGCGCGGGCTGTAAGTCACGCGGAAAAATGAAGCGTGACCAAGGCTTTGGCCTAGGCGAGCGCCCCCGGGGGCGTTTCCTTACATATTTATTATTGAGTACCGTTAAGTTTCGGCATTTTTGACCGCTGGTTTCGCTTGACTTCTTCGTCCGCCTGAGGGCGCAAACTCTCGCTAACGCTGCGCTAATTCCGGGGGCATAGCGGTGTAGTTGCTGGGAAAGCAGTTTTGTATCCGCCTATATAAACATGTTTATAACATCTTTTTTTCATTAAAACGGTTTCGCATTATTTATTCAACAAAATTGATTAACAATGCAATCAGTTTTAGTGCAGGGATTTTTTACTTCTCTCGTGTTGGCTTGATCAGTTGCATATGTGTCGGGAAGCGCCACAAACTCCTCAGGTAATTGAAACACCCGTTCATCTGTCTTTCGTCATCTAGTTCTCTGTGAAATAAGCCCCCTAGCTACGAAAAATATCACTTGCAACACATCGTGCATGTTGTTTTTAATCAATTTGTGTTTTTCCCTTTCACCTAATCGTAACGTGTTTCATAAATGACATGTCCGCTTCTCCGTTTGAAGTCGGGGACTGGGCCATATACGCATTTCGGTTTGGTCTTGGGCTTTATTCTTTAAAGATTGAGTAGATGATTAGATGATACAGAAGAATATCCGAGAGACACCGCTATTTGAAGGACCGCTTATCCTGAGCAGGGTCACGGATCGAGGGCCTGGAGCCCATTACAGGCGGTACTAGCAAAAGGCATGTCAGTCTGTCACAACACACTTAGGCGATTTCGAGACGCCAGTTAGCCTAAAGCACTATCTTTTTCTTTTATCTTTTATTTATTGCTGTTTTCCTTTTATTTGTTTATTATTTTTTTTGCGCGCAGGATTTCGCAAACTGCAGAGTCCGGCTCCACACAGCCAGCAGCCGTGGAAAACGCCCAGCGTGGGATGTCAGCACCATGTGAACCATCGTGTCATAAAGGGAGCGATTCCTGCCCTCCTGGAAGGAAGCACACGGGCAGTCGGACGCTGGCCCTGGACCGGTGGGCTGCTCTACGACCGAGATCAGTCATTATGCGTGATATCTAATGAATTGCCACAAGGTGGCGCCAATAAACCGCAGTGTTTCATCCGCTTTAACTTTCACATCCAGCCCTCTGCAGTTACACTTGCCATCCCGTAGCTTCAGTTTCGCAATTGCAAACACTTTTACTTACCCATTTTAAAGTTATATTTAAGTTACTGATAAAGTATAACTAAAGTGTTCGATCCTTATTATTACTGCACTGTGCCAAAAAATATGTAAAAGTTTTCCAGACACAGAAAAAGCTGTTTTTTGAGCGGTGTAGTTTATCAATGCATGCAGTCTGACATTTACTCGTCTCCCATTTGTTATCGTTCATTTGTATGACATACGGCGGTTATGGTAAAAACTCTGAAGTGGGGTAATATATCATATGTCCGCTTTCTAACGTCCTCTGAATCATGTCAGCGTTTCTACTGTAAAATGTTACTGAACGCGAGTGGTTTTCTTTTGTCAGATGCTCATTAAGGGATTACATCAGAGACGGATTACATCAATATAGTTCGGTCATTATGAATGAAATCATTGATGCGGCGCCTTAGAGGACGTCCAGATTTCAAAGCGCGGCCGTCTTCTCTTTTGAACTTTCCCTTTCTTCACATCTTGAATATCGTCACTTCAAAAAAAATACCTGCTTTAATTTTTGATTTATAAACTAAATGACCAGCGGAATGCAGTTTAAGATGCCATGCCAGCTCACCAATTGGCGGATCTAATGAACAGTGTGATGTGTTAAGCCTGAGACTGGTTAATAAGATGGAAGTTGTGTGAATTCTCCCAGCTGTCGGTCCATGGTGCTGCACCACGCAGGGATTTCAGCTGCAGTCCACTTCTGCTTTAAGCTTGTAATAACACATAACATCACAGAGAAGTTCCTTAGTCCACAGAAAGCTTGTCTCGTTGCTCTGGTTTACTCTTGCCAGCTCTCGGTTTAAGTACTGGATCGCCTCTGAGGGTTTCTGTGTTCTCCCTGTGCTTGTGTGGCTATTTTGATTTCCAAAGACTTTTCTGGAGAATCAGTGGCTCTTAATTACTGTTTAAGTGACCTATTTTAGGCTGGAGCTAATGGTGACCATAGTGAGTTTTTGGTTGCTCTCTGGAGTGATTTTTTTGTGGTGGTGATATCTGATTCTTATCAGTCCACACTGCTGTGGATTGCTGATGCCAAAGGCTGTGGCAGTGCCACAGAGGGTGACCGTTTGCATTCAGGCTGCATGCCCCCCCGGAAAGCCACACACCCAGAATCGCGGTCCATTATATGAAAATAGCCAGGAATCATTTCTTGATTCTCTCCTGGTTTCTTTGAATAATTATCTGCGCCTTTTATGGCCTTTCTGTGAGGAATTAAGTTGCGAAGAAGGCGGTTTGGGGTGGTGGTGGGTGTGAGTGTGTGTGTGGGGGGGGGGAGTTGTTCGAATCCAGGCATTCCAGCAGTTGTGATTCTTGGCATGTGGGCCCTGGATCCTCAATCAGTGCCCTGGCACAGGGTGTCTGTACCTCGCAGCTGGGCATGTGGGGTTCTCCGCCTCCCCGGGAACATGCAGCCCCCTGCCTGGGAACAATTTACCTCCCCCCTGAGTGGAGCGCGCTTACACGGCATGCAGTACAATGCTTTCATTAAGTGAATGAACAAAAAAATGAACAAAAACAAGCTGGCCTTCACCTTGATGGTTTTATTGATGCAGGTTTCAGGTTTTCAGGTCTCGGTTAAATGGCCAGTTTAATGGCACTCATGGTGATGTAAGTGTTTGATACCCTCCAGATTAGGGGGCCTGCGGGTGCAGGATGTGAATTTAATGTGGCCACAAGGCTTAGTGGGAATGAGGGCTCTGTCAGCGTTTCCACTCGATGCTGGCCACTTTTGTGGCGGGGTCCCGGGGAATGCAGGGTCTCCCGTCAGCGTTCCAGGAGCAGGGTGGGGTGTGGGGGCTATTTGGCGCCATCGTGTGGCTGCCTGGGTGATTGCAGTGATGATGGTGTATCTGCCCTGTACTGTATGTGTGTGAATATTGCGATGTAGTTAATCAGCAGCAAGCAGGAAGAGCAGACCAAGTGGCAGTCTTATGAGTGTTTGTGTGTGTGAGTGTGTTTTACTGTGTGTTACTACATGTCTTTGCTACTGTCAGTGTTCAAGCCTGTATGGGAGCAGTTATTGCTGTGTGCATTTATGTTACTGAAAATTTAAATCTTTGTCACTGCGTGTGTGTGTCTCTGTCTGTTTGTGTGTGTGTCTCTGTGTATGTCTGTGTGTGTATGTGTGTGTGTGTGTGTGGTCTCTGCTGGCTTTACTGATTTAAACCAAAAAGCCGGTGCCAGGAATGATGAAAACCTGGTCAGAATAACTGCGAAGGCTGATAAGGATGGAGATTGATTTGGTTTTCTGAAGGATGAAGGACTGCAGAGACTTCAGCTAAAAACATTTCAGAAATGTTTAACCTGTCATGCAGTGTTGAGTTTGAACTGCATTCAGACTGGCCTGATTCGGTTTTTTAATAATATTTTCTCACTGTTTTAATTATGACTCGTAACCTAATCAGCACTGAGGAAATGTGACCTGTAATGTTGTTTATGGTGCCAATTTGTTATTTATGTGGTGGGAACGGATGCCTGGTGTTGGACAGCGGAGCCCTCGTCTTTGATCGTGTCTCAGGAATGGCTGGCATGCTTCTGAACTTGAGACTCCTTCCCGTGTTATTGTTCCTGTGTCCGTGTTTTCCGTTTTCTCTGAGGTGACCCCAGGGGCATTTGGGGAAACAGTGTGGTGCAGCTGATGCACCCCCCCTTGCTACCCCCGCACCAACAATTGCTCAAAAGCCTATAGGGTGCAGCTTTTCAATATTCTGTATTTTAAATCCTCATTTGTGCCACTTGTTGTGTGTCTGATTGATCTCCCAGTTGCCTGCTGTGCTCCTGCAGATACGAGCCTCTTCAAATGTCAGGCAGACCGCTGAACATTAGCGATGTGCAAACGCCATCGTGATGGCCATTTCCTAGCACTTCGCAACTTCCCCAAGTTTGCCGGGGGGGACGGGTGGTTGCTAAGACATGATGCAGAAGCTGACATGATGAAGAAGATGGTGCCGTAAGTGCCGCATATAGGGTTGAGCAGTTCTGGTGATCAGCGAGGAACGTGTCATCACGCTCAAGGAAACGGGCATTGTGCATGTGTTACGTGCTTCGACTGACACTGCTAATCACGCTCTGAAAATATTGGTTGTCTGAATATAGTCATGCATACAAGTTAACATTAAGGTTTTCTGGCGGGATAAGCTGGCTCGGGTTCTGAAGTGATGTTGTTCATGTCCAGACCAACAACCGGAGAGGTCTGCAATGTGGCCGGCTGTGCTCTTTCTCTTCGGAACCAGAGTTCTCTGAATCGGACTTCTGTGGGCTAATGTGGACCAGAACCAAGGATCTGGAAGCCTTCACAGAGTCTCCGGGGCGTCAGGGCACTGCCCACAGAGTGCAAATGAGCAAATCCAAAGTTATTAAGTGTACTGGATGTTGTTCTGGATGTGGCATCACGCCGTGTGCTCAAGCGGCGTAGCCGAGTGTTTAAGGGTGCTGCAGGTTATTGGTCCCAGTCCCAGGGGTTGATGGTCGGTTATCATGCCCTTGAGTAGGGTACTTAACCTCATTTTCTCCAGCCCAGCTCCTCCTGGAGCTGTAACTTGCTTTGGAAAGAAAGTGTCAAGTAATTAGCATATTGAAGAGGACATGCTCCAGGGGGTATTGCTTTGACCATTACCGCCTGCTTTGACGCACCAGCATCCAGTAAAGAGACCAGTGGAAAGTTGACTAAACCAGTTGGTTTCCAAAAGAATTCCTCATTCTCCTTGCTACCCGTCCGGTCATGGGCCGCACCTGGGTTATCAGAGACAGGTGGATATTCCAGTGGCATATGTCTGGGTTTGAGGCGGCACTGAGGAAGGCTGTACATTCTCCAGGGCGTTTATAAAGACCTCATGGTTTTCTCTGGGTCCCGGCAATCATCAGGTTCACTCAGCTTTTCAATCGCTTTCACCTGACTTGGTGAAAAACGTTCGGCTTAATCCAGATAAAGGATTGGCCTGATGGACCTTGACAAAGCCTTTTTTCAGCTTCGAAGGCACACCGCAGCAATCCGGCGATTTCCGCTAATTCGTTTTGCGTTTCTTTACTCTAACAGGACTTCAGTTTTGATACCAGAATTTCAATTTATAGAGTGATGGTCTCAGTGTGATGCTTTTTCAGCCAGAGAATATACTGCACACTCAAATAGCACATTTTTTCAACAGTACACTTTGAACCAAACGTTTTCCGCACCAGTTTTCTCAGCATAAGTTTCCAGTCAAAGAACGTTGTATGGAGTGAAGCTGAATAGAGCATTGTGTGTTGGTGAAACAGACATCGGATGTAGGTACATGCAGAATGTAGGATGAACACGATGTTTACAAGTGTTCAGTCTCTATACTTTTCATGTGCTTTGGTTTTACTGACAAGGACTTTTATGAGAGCAAGATAACCCAAAAAAGTAAAAAAAAATGGTACAAAAAGAGGTGGTTCATTTCAAATTGTAATTTGGGTTTTGGATTGGGCTGGAAGCATTTTAATTCTTTACAAATAAGGGATTTGGGTTTCAATTGACACTTTTTCGATTTATGGTGTTTTTTCAAGAATGACTCTGGATGAGGGCAAGGCTGTATTGTGTCAACCTGTAATCGCATGCAAACTTCCACTCGATCTTCTGCTTTATAAAATTATCCCAGTACGCTGATATGCAGTGGGGGTTCTCCTTATTGTGTCCTGTCAAAATAAGGTATTAGGTGAAGCTGGCTGTCGAGATCTGGCTGGGAGGGGGGGGCAGTTTTTATGATGCCATCCTCTCTGTAAGGACTCTGTATTCCATACATGTGTCTCCTGAATTTGCGCCCTTTAGCTTCCTCCTCTGCTATAACATTAACATTAACCAGCGACTGC